GTGAGTTGATGCCACTGCTGGGTCAAATAGTGCCAAGACGGTAGGTGGGAGGAAGTTGGCACTGTGTGTACTGGGCTTAACATTGTGTGTGTGGTGTGTGTGTGTAGTGTGTGTGTGTGTGTGTGTGTGTGTGGTGTGTGTGTGTGTGTGTGTGTGTGTGTGTTAGTTGTGTGTGTGTTTTGTGTTGTATGCACTCACTTGTTGTACTCGCCTAGTTGTGGCTGCAGGGGTAGATTCACAGCTCTTGGCCTCACCTCTTCGTTGGTCGCTACTAGGTCACTCTTCCTGCTCCATAAGCGTTATTTTATTTTATTTTCATTTATTTATTTAATGTCTTTGCAAACAGTACATTGGGACTGTGTATATACAACAGTGGGTTGCAATACAAACCGAGCCTCTATTATGCCTTGGCATTATGGGTCAACTTAACATTATTGGCGTACATTCTACTTAATACTAAGAAATAGTATATCTTAGTTGTACAGTAGGAAAGTAATTGTTTAATAGTTGTACAGTAGAATATTAATTATAAATATCACAATTTGTATAATACAAAGATATACGTATCATACCTCTTCTTAAACCTATGTATGGATCCTGCCTCCACTACATCACTACACAGGCTTTTCCACTTCCTGACAACTCTGTGACTGAAGAAATACTTCCTAACATCCCTGTGATTAATCTGAATCTTCAACTTCCAACTGTGACCCCTTGTTGTTGTGTCCCATCTCTGGAACATCTGTCTCTGTCCACCTTGTCGATTCCTCTCAATATTCTGTATGTCCTTATGATATCACACCTATCTCTCCTGTCCTCCAGTGTCGTCAGGTTGATTTCCCTTAACCTCTCCTCGTAGGACATACCTTTTAGCTCTGGGACTAGTCTTGTTGCAAATTTTTGCACTTTCTCTAGCTTCCTTACATACTTGGCTAGGTGTGGGTTCCAAACTGGTGCCGCATACTCCAATATGGGCCTAACATACACGGTGTACAGGGTTCCGAACGATTCCTTATTAAGATATCGGAATGCTGTTCTGAGGTTTGCTAGGCGTCCATATGCTGCAGCAGTTATTTGGTTGATGTGCGCTTCAGATGTGCCTGGTGTTATACTCACCCCAAGATCTTTTTCCTTGAGTGAGGTTTGTAGTCTCTGGCGGGTCTTCTTTGCCCTTCCCCAATCTTCATGACTTTGCACTTGGTGGGGTTGAACTCCAGGAGCCAATTGCAGGACCAGGTCTGCAACCTGTCCAGATCCCTTTGTAGTTCTGCCTGGTCTTCGATCGAATGAATTCTTCTCATCAACTTCACATCACTTGCAAACAGGGACACTTCGGAGTCTATTCCTTCCGTCATGTCGTTCACAAATACCAAAAACAGCACTGGTCCTAGGACTGACCCATGTGGGACCCCGCTGGTCACAGGTGCCAACTCTGACACCTCGCCACGTACCATTGTCTTCCTGACAAGTATTCCCTGATCCATTGTAGTGCCTCCCCTGTTATCCCTGCCTGTACTCACCTATTTGTGGTTGCAGGGGTCGAGTCTTAGCTCCTGGCCCCGCCTCTTCACTATTTGCTACTGTGTCCTCTCTCTCACTGCTCCATGAGCTTTATCAAACCTCGTCTTAAAAATGCATGGTTCCCGCCTCCACTACGTCACTTTCTAGGCTATTCCACTGCCTGACAACTCTATGACTGAAGAAATACTTCCTATCGTCCCTTTGACTCATCTGAGTCTTCAACTTCCAATTGTGACCTCTTGTTTCTGTGTCCCACCCCTGGAACATCCTGTCTTTGTTTGTGTGTGTGTGTGTGTATGTGTGTGTGTGTGTGTGTGTGTGTGTGTGTGTGTGTGTGTGTGTGTGTGTGTGTGTGTGTGTGTGTGTGTGTGTGTGTGGTGTGTTGTGTGTGTCGTGCCGAATAGGTAAAAACTTGCTGTTTTGGCTTAAATAGCAACGCTCTTCCTGCCGAATAAGGCAAGCGAAAATTTGTATATGCAATAATTTTGCAAAAATATATCTGAACCTAATGAAAAAGATATATTTCATTGTGTTTGTTTATTATTAAATTATCGTAAACATATCTAAAATATATATAGCTGGATTAGGCTAAATTAAATTGCGCTTGTTATAATAAGGTTAGGTAAGTTTTCCAAGGTTCTTTTGGTACAAAATTATTAATTATTACATTAACGTAAATGAATAAAATATATCTTTATATATATTTAAATGTAGATGACTGGTTCAGAGAACCGAAACGTTGATAAATTAGACACATGTGCAACATTTCGGTATCTTTAATGAGGAAACGTTTCACCACACAGTGGCTTCATCAGTCCATACAAGGTAGAATGGTGAAGAACAGGAGGAGTTTGAGGTAATCAGTCCCTCAACCTTGAGTCTATAAATCTTGAAAAGAATCAAGACTGATGGACTGATCACATCGATTCAAAGCTGAGGGACTGATAACCTCAAACTCCTCCTGTTCTTCACCATTCTCCTTTGTATGGACTGATGAAGCCACTATGTGGTGAAACGTTTCCTCATTAAAAATACCCATTAAAGATATATGGAGGGAGAGAGTATGGAGGAGGTGAATGTATTCAGATATTTGGGAGTGGACGTGTCAGCGGATAGGTCTATGAAAGATGAGGTGAATCATAGAATTGATGAGGGGAAAAGGGTGAGTGGTGCACTTAGGAGTCTGTGGAGACAAAGAACTTTGTCCTTGGAGGCAAAGAGGGGAATGTATGAGAGTACAGTTTTACCAACGCTCTTATATGGGTGTGAAGCATGGGTGATGAATGTTGCAGCGAGGAGAAGGCTGGAGGCAGTGGAGATGTCATGTCTGAGGGCAATGTGTGGTGTGAATATAATGCAGAGAATTCGTAGTTTGGAAGTTAGGAGGAGGTGCGGGATTACCAAAACTGTTGTCCACAGGGCTGAGGAAGGGTTGTTGAGGTGGTTCGGACATGTAGAGAGAATGGAGCGAAACAGAGTGACTTCAAGAGTGTATCAGTCTGTAGTGGAAGGAAGGCGGGGTAGGGGTCGGCCTAGGAAAGGTTGGAGGGAGGGGGTAAATGAGGTTTTGTGTGCGAGGGGCTTGGACTTCCAGCAGGCATGCGTGAGCGTGTTTGATAGGAGTGAATGGAGACAAATGGTTTTTAATACTTGACGTGCTGTTGGAGTGTGAGCAAAGTAACATTTATGAAGGGGTTCAGGGAAACCGGCAGGCCGGACTTGAGTCCTGGAGATGGGAAGTACAGTGCCTGCACTCTGAAGGAGGGGTGTTAATATTGCAGTTTAAAAACTGTAGTGTAAAGCACCCTTCTGGCAAGACAGTGATGGAGTGAATGATGGTGAAAGTTTTTCTTTTCGGGCCACCCTGCCTTGGTGGGAATCGGCCAGTGTGATAATAATATGTATATATATATATATATATATATATATATATATATATATATTAATATATATATATATATATATATATATAGTATATATATATATATATATATATATATATATATATATATATATATATATATATATGTATATATATATATATATGTATATATATATCTTAAGGTAGGTCTCGCTCTCTCAGAGAGAGAGAGAGAGAGAGAGAGAGAGAGAGAGAGAGAGAGAGAGAGAGAGAGAGAGCAGTGAAGGATAATTGAAAGAAGTACAGGAAGGAGAGCGACACAATCCTAATGGAAGAATGCAGGCAGAGAATGAAGGGCTCTAGATCCAAGGAAATAAACTGTCTTTTTTTTCTCCTGTACAATACACAAATAACCCGCACATAAAAGAGAGAAGCTTACGACGACGTTTCGGTCCGACTTGGACCATTGACAAAGTCACACTAACAGAGGTGGAGCAGGACGGCTATATATAGGCAGGAAGAGGTGGTAGTAGTAGTAATACAAGAATTGTATATAATACCGACAGGATGAAATTAAGACACATGCACAACACCCGGGCATCCCCATCGTAGATTTCGCCATCCCACCACGGAGGCGAAACGCCCAAAAAACAAAAAAACGCCAACGCGCACATTGTCTAATTTCAACAGTAGTTTAGTTAAGAAGAAGAGGTAGTAGAAAGGGGTAGGGGAAGAAGTGGGAAAAAAAGGGAAGACGAGCCGTCAAATACAAAGGAAGGGGAGCACGCAAGAGAGCAGATACCCACAGAGGGAGAGCAAGGCACAGAGGTGCGTGAAAGGGGAAGGGGGAAAAAAAATAAATGAAGAAGGAACAAAACACACACAGGAGAGAGAAAGAAAACCCCAAGGAAAAAGGAGAGGGGAAAAGGGGGAAGAGGAAGAAGAAAAAAGAAAAAAAAAAGTGGGGATTCAGGTTAAGTCAGGGGTTTTTTTTTCTGAATTTGGGAATTTTTTTTAAATGTAGGGGGGAAGGAAGGCATCACGAGACGAAGCCAGGGCTAAGGTTATACAAGGAAAGTTGTGTATTAGAGAGGATTCAACTAGACGGCGACTTTTCAGTTGGAAGTGGGGAAACAGTTTTGCAGAAACCAGTCAATAGGATGGCTATGATCTCGACTGACAGAAAAGAGCTTTGTTATGTCGGCAAGCCTAAAATTTTTTTTGTGCTCCCTAATCTGTCAAAAAGGGGAATCGACCAGTTTCCCCCGAAGTTTTGAAGGGACAGGAGGACAAGAAATGAGTAGACCCAGGAACATCTGTAGAGGGGGGAGAGGTATGAACAGTTTTAGTGCAAAGAGTTTAGTCTGGCGGGAAAGGGAAGCTTAATTTTTAAGGGACGGAGAGAATTGTTGAATTAGAAAGACCGGAAATGTAGGGAAGGCAGAGGATAGAAGAGTTCCCTAGTAAGAGTTTTGGGGGAGAAAAATTGCGTTTAGCATGTGAGAGGGCAGAGTCTATGAAATGGAAGGGTGCCAAAAGGGGAAAACAATTATAAGAGGGGAAAATTTTTGCTGGGAAAGGAACTGAGGATCACAATGCGGAGGGCACGGAGAAGAGG